ATATCTTTTTTTTTCTGATATATCTTATATATTTTTTTTATATGAGCAAAAAAGATTATTTTTTTTGCATTAATATCATAATATATAATATTATCGAATATATCATTTTATTATTTTTTTTCAAGTGTCAAAGCTCACTTTTTTTTTTATCTTATTGGTCGAGAGTGTTTTTTTTGAAAGTCACAAAATTTTACTTTTTTTCGGCAACTGTCCACCAGCGGTTTTTTTTGTTGTGGACTGTCAATAAGTTTTTTTTCGCAGAAAAACAATCTTCATTTTTTTGAAAATGCCACATTTACGGATTTTTTTTTCCAAAATTGTTATGAAACTTTTTTTTTCGTCTACAAATAGTTATATTTTTTTTTGTGTTATTACATTGATTGTTTTTTTTGACATTTGACTATTTGTATTTTTTTTTTTCAGTCATTTTATCAAAATTTTTTTTAAAAACACTTCATTTATTTTTTTTTTTTGCTCTCTTTGACACTTGATTTTTTTATGAAGCACTTATTTACTGGTTTTTTTGGGAAACAGTATGTTTTGCGTTTTTTTACCGCTGAGGTTTCCCTCAGCTTCGCTTCGGGAAACATCAGCGGTCGTTTTTTTACAAAACTGTTTCCCTCGGTTTTTTTTAATAAGTGTTAAATCGAGGATTTTTTTATGTAACGCAGGCTAAATGATTTTTTTAGCAGACTGAGAATAATCCGTTTTTTTGACTCAACGGTTTGCATATATTTTTTTAAGTTGACTATTTCTATTTATTTTTTTGCTATTTCACTAAAGTTTGGTTTTTTTATCACAACTTTATAAAGTTTTTTTTTTGTTATTTTATAGTAATATTTTTTTTTTCACTACAACGGAGATCCACTTTTTTTTTTTGAAATTTCAAAGTCTTTTTTTTTTCCCCCGGGGGGACTCCCTTATTTTTTTTGATAGGTATGCTCGACGAATTTTTTTAAAAATGACCCTAAAAGGCATTTTTTTATTAATTCAGATATCGATTCTTTTTTTTAACCTGAGAATCAGGCACTTTTTTTTGAAATATAGAAGGAGAAGAATTTTTTTGAGCCCTTCCTTTTTCCCTTTTTTTTTGCCCCAGGCCCCCTTGAAGGTTTTTTTGAAGGCCCCCTCAGTTTATTTTTTTTTCTAAAAGGTACGACCATTTTTTTTTTTTTTAAGAGAAAAGCTCAAGCTTTTTTTACTGTAGAAAATCAATGTCGTTTTTTTGTTAAGGTTAATTAAATCTATT